CAATACATGGAGCGAACCTAGTAGAGAATCTCATGAAACGTATGGAGATTAACAGTGATTTGCCTTCTTCTCATAAGGAACAGTTGCACGAACTTATTGCCAAACATGCCAGCACTTTCAGCAAGGATGAGGATGATATTGGATTCTGCGATGCCATCAAGCACAGAATTATAACGCCCGATGATGCCCCAGTTCGCATTCCACATCGACGTATTCCCCCAAGCCACTGGCAAGAAGTACGAGAATATATCAAGAAGTCGTTAGACAAGGGAGTGATCAGGGAGTCATCCAGTCCATATGCGTCCCCAATTGTGCTTGTGCGGAAGGGAGGTAAACTGAGAGTTTGCTGCGACTATCGTGCGCTGAATGCGAAAACTCGGAAAGACGCCTATCCTCTACCTCGGATAGAAGAAGCCCTCACTGTATTAAAGGATGCCAAATACTTCTGTAGTCTGGATCTTGCCCATGGGTTTAACCAGATAGCCGTTGCAGAAGAAGACATCGAGAAGACAGCCTTTCGGACAGGAACATGTGGCTTATATGAGTATCTGCGGATGCCATTTGGATTAACTGGAGCCCCAGGAACCTTCATGAGACTGATGGATAAAATCTTCGGCGACGAAAATTTCCAAACTCTCCTCATCTATTTAGATGACATTCTTATATTTGGGACAACATTTGAAGAAGCTCTAGAACGTCTGGACATGGTGTTGACCAGACTCACCAAATATAATCTGAAAATTAAACCTGAAAAATGTCAACTCTTCAAGGAAAAACTTCGTTATCTTGGACACATTGTCTCTGAGGAAGGTATTGCTCCAGATCCGGACAAGATCACAGCTGTTAGTGGTTGGGCAGTTCCTAAGACAGAGACACAGTTGAGAGGCTTTCTTGGGTTGGCAGGTTATTACCGAAAGTTTGTTCAAGGCTTCGCCAGTATTGCAGCTCCTCTACATTCTCTGCTGCAAGGCAAAAGATTGGGAAAGAAAGGAAGAAGGAAAGTTCAGCCAGGGAGTGGTATGAAAGCTTGGGACAGCTCTTGTGACAAGGCCTTTGAAGAGCTGAAGTTTCGTCTTACCATGTCGCCAGTCCTGGGACACCCTGATTTTGATAGACCGTATATCCTTGAGGTCGATGCTAGTCACTATGGATTAGGAGCGGTATTGTCACAGGACCAGGAATCTGGAAAAGTGGTGCTGAGCTTTGCTAGCAGATCCTTAAGACCAGCCGAAAGAAATATGGACAACTACAGCAGTATGAAGTTGGAGCTTGTTGCACTGAAGTGGGCTGTCACCGAAAAATTCAGAGATTTCCTTCTTGGAACTGAATGTACTGTCTACACAGACAATGACCCGTTGAGCTATGTCCAGACCACTGCAAAGTTAGGTGCAACGGAAACAAGGTGGATTGGAGAACTGGCACAGTTCAACCTTGTCATTCGGCACAGATCGGGAAAGAAGAACAGAAACGCTGACTCATTAAGCAGGAAAGAAACCCACATCCCTGAAGTTGCACGAATGGAAAAGATTTCCGTAGTTGGCTCCAGTGACATGCCAGTTATGTCAACCATGGTACCCGTCCAACTGAAGACGCAGATCCAGCAAGACACGAAGTCAGTTTGTTTGGAGTCTTTGCAAATACAAACAGTACGCCTCGAACCAATACCAAGCACAAATCTCCCTACTGTTCTCCCCGAAGAAATGAAGAAAATGCAGGAAGAAGATGTGAACATCAAGAGGTTCCTATTTCATTACAACCAGGACCAGTATCCATCTTACAGAGACCGGTTGAAAGAGCACCCAAATACACGCAGAATACTGAAATGCTGGAAAAACATGGTCCTGCAAAATGGAGTTCTCTATCGTCAGGTAAAAGTGGACAATAAGCCAACATTGCGAGTCGTTATTCCCAACAAGCTCCAATCAAGAGTCCTCAAGGCTAGCCATGACGAAAGTGGACATCCCAGTGCAGAGAGGACCATTTCCGTTCTGAGAGCGAGATGCTTCTGGCCATACATGGCAAGGGACACAGAAGAATACTGCAAAAAGTGTGAGAGGTGTTTGCTGGGGAAACATGGGCCCTCTGTGAAGCCATCATATGGAAGCATCATCGCCAAACGACCACTCGAAATCCTAGCAATGGACTATACGCTGTTGGAGAAGGGCACTCATGGACTCGAAAATGTACTTGTTCTCACGGACGTGTACACTAAATTCACACAAGCCTTCCCAACCAGGGATCAGACCGCAAGGACTGTTGCCAGGATCTTGGTTAAAGAATGGTTCGTCAAGTTTGGTGTCCCCCGAAGGCTACATAGTGATCAAGGTAGAAATTTCGAATCCAACATCATTCACGAGCTATGTAGCATATATGGTGTAAGAAAGACCAAAACCACACCATATCACCCAGAAGGAAACTCGCAGTGTGAGAGATTCAATAGAACTCTGCATAACATGCTAAGAACCTTGCCTCTCCCTCAAAAGAAGAAATGGCCACAACTACTGCCAGAGCTGATCTATGCTTACAACTGTACCCCACATGCTACCACAGGGTATTCACCCTTCTACTTGTTCTTCGGGCGAGACCCAAAGTTACCGGTTGACCTTGTTATAGGAGATCAAGTAGATGAGACCACAGAGACGGACTGGGTGACAGAACACCATCAGCGGTTACAAGCAGCATTTAACCAAGCCAGCAGGAGAACCGAAGAAGCTGCACTGCAAAGGCAAGCAAGAGTAAATAAAAACACGAATGACAGAGAACTTGTAGTTGGAGCCAGGGTATTTCTCAGAAATCATCCGGCCGGGAGACATAAGATTCAAGACATTTGGCGACCAGAGCCATACAAAGTCATTGCTAGGAAAGAAAACCAAGTTTATGCTATCTGTCCTCTCGACAGTGATAATCCAAAACAAGTACACAGAAAAGAACTGTTGGACTCAAGAACACTTGTGTCTGATATACAGACAGACCCCCATCTTGAAGACAGAGTGGAACCAGTGGTCAGTACAACTGCCAGAAGTGCTGCAGTTGAAGCCGAGAACGAGAACAATCTTCCAGAAGCTTGTACGTTTCGTGTTAGTGTTCCAGATGAGGTATCCAACGAGGGTATTTCAAAAGTGTGTGGAAGTGCTTCATGCATAGCAGGGGAGCCTGTAAACACCCAGGCCTCCAGTGATTCAGCTGATGGGACACTTGAGAGTGATCATGCTGGGGACAATCTGTGTAGTGCAGTTAGTAGTGACCCTAATAGTGACAACATCAAAGATAATGTTGTGAGTGATACAGTCACACTTGCCACTACTAGTAGGGATCCAGGTGATGCTACTGCTTCGTGTCAAGGTGGTGAGCTTGAAATGGACGCTTGTGCGGAAGATGAAGCTCCACCACTTCGACGAACAACGCGTTCGAACGCCGGACAGCATCCCAACCCTCACAACCTACCGCAGTCCGCAGCACAGAATGAAGTGACTGTAGTTGCTCCAATAGACCCTACTGTGTTAGCTAATATTAGTCAGTCGCAGTTGTTGTTACTGCAGTTGTTAGCGAAGTCCGTCCCAAAGTAAACAGTGAGCTGATTTGTTCCGTCCAGACATTTACTGTGAAAAAGGAAACTTTTTGACGAACCAAAGCCTGTGTTATGTTTACAACTTCCGTACCAGTATTATTTTTAAACTGCTCAGTGCACATTGTTAATTGCACCATGTTGATATTGTTTACATTTGATTATGTGTATTCTTTAGAAGTGTGGCAGTTACTTGTTTCAAGTCGAAATGCTTTTTCCTGTGACTTGTAATAGATGCCTGATGTGAATGATATATTGTCCCTTAGAGTATATAGATTGTTAGTTGCCAGGAGTCAACTATTTAGCAGGGGAGTGTGAAGAGGTATTGCGCACATAAAATCCTTGCCGGAAATAGTCGGTACCTTCCGGAAATAATCACAAATTTGAAATGTTTTAGAGTTACATTTGCTGTTAAAATTTATAAATAAACTGTTAAAATATAATTAAATGTACCTGTAAGAATTCTGATGCATCGTAACTATTAAATTGGATAAAAGTACGCAAAGCTTTCAACTTTTCCCATGGTGCACTTGTTTCATAGTTTTCGCGCTATAGTCGCCATGCTTGTCAAAGTGCGAGGTACACAACATTTTTAGAGAGCTACACATACGAAGCCACAACTTTGTCATTCCTTGTTTTTCATCAAGTTTGCCATCATGGAACGACAATAAATACTCTTCGATGAAACCATTCACTCTTCTGTACTGATTTCCCACGTTACATACATATTCGAACATCCATATTAAGTTATATTAAAACAGCTACAACATTCATTGGGGACTGGTCATTGCGTGTATAACAGGTGTTTGGGGTGAGGGAGAGGGGAGATTGGCCACCCCCCACCCCCGAATATACGTTACAACTTTTCATGACCACCATATATACTTATCACAAACTTAGTCATTTTGGTGCGGAAATAGATACTGCTACATTACGAATGCGTCACACGATGCTTTTATTATGACATGTAGTTACATGCGCTATTTTAGTTCAAGTATGGGCAGTGTTACGCATATACTGTAGCTCCGGGACTCAGACAGACAGACAATAGTTTATTAACGTCTCACTTCTGTACATACATAAAACAGCTTTGTACAACTTGACATAGACAGAATGTACAGAACCATTCAATAGAATTATGAGAGATAAATTATCACAGAATTTATACATAAATGATATAAAGATGATATAGTAAAAAGTTATCCATATAAAAGATGTTTTCTACGATTAAGAATTAAAAAGCAGACTTTGGCAAGTATAAAACACACACTGGAGTCACTGAAAATTAAACAAAGTTTGTCGATATCAGGTATATCTAAAACATTATAAGATTTAGCAATACATTCATTAAAAAGAGTTGCCCTGATATCGTCATATAATACGCAGTGAAACAAAAAACATAGGCCTCGTCTTCTACGCTGTCATTCCAGTGAAAACATTTTCTATTGTTGACGGGTACACCATCGTACCGACCGGTTTCCACTCGAATAGGAGCCACGCCACATCATGATCACGAACATGTGGATGAGGCACTCCCCTAAACGATGAAGCGTGTCGAGATGACCTTAGACTCGCTGACAGGGGGGGTATTTCCACGGACTTGTATAATACTTGGTTATATAGGTCCGTGGTATTTCCTAGGCAACTTACGACGCAACACCCTGATATATTGTCTCTATCCCACAAGACATATGTCACAGACATAGACTTACGGCAATATAACCACGCAATGTATATGCTACGATGTAAAGTGCAAATAGTGTAGAGAAATAACAGAAGCTTGTCTCAGACCTCGGATTTACACGCTTAAGATTCACAGGGACACATTCAAAACAGAGGTAAGTGGCACGTATCATTCTTAGTTCACCACCAGTAACACCTGTTCGATAGAGTCTAATAATCATTAATGAGCCCTGTGTATTCAAACTTAGTTTAGTGTGGTAAGTTTTTTTGAGTGAGTGATTTGAGTTAATTTGAGGTCGATTTTGACCAGTATTTCTGTTATATCACGGCGTGTCAGCTCGGTGCGGACGGAAGGCCAACACTGACGCTCATCGTACCACGGTTAGGCTGCTCACAAGCCAAGGATCCCTACCGGCTTCGTTCTCTGATTCGAACCCATGTATTCTAATCCCGATCCTGAATATGGAATGTGCGATTTTTGTGTTAAGAGAGTGTTTTAAGGAAGTGGAATAAAGTGGGCTCTGTTCTCTTTTTTAATGATAACGCTTGTGTGTGTGTGTGTGTGTGTGTGTGTGTGTGTGTGTGTGTCAGTTCGCGCGCGCGCTTGTGTGTCAATGTGTGTGTGTGTGTGTGATCACCTTAATAGAAGCTGTGGCTGTAAAAAGCCCACCTTTTATGGCATTGTATTATGTGTGGCATGCACCTAATTACAACAAAGACAATAACACCGATGGCCAGACATGTAGAAGTAAACAGGTCTATTTCCGGGAAGGAACATTAAGGTGAAGTCGAGGCTGTTCTAAATGAAAGTCGTAGATCAGCTGACACATATAGTACTGCCGCTAGACTGTCGATGGGCCTCTCAGATTAAAGAAGAAGAGAAACACGTCTGTGTCAAGAAACTCTGGTATTTTCCTCAAGCCATACGGTATTCAAAATCTACTAAAAGTCAGGACTCAACATGCCAGACGACGGCAGGATTTACACATATGAACAGTCTCACCTATTATTATCCTGTTCCTTTGTGCCTACCCTCATGCACCAACTTTAACCATGACGCAACACTGGGTTGTATCTTTGTGTGTGCTCCCTCAACCATTCTGTCTCGCATTTGATCATTTCCAATGTATCCGGGTCATAAACTCTTGTGAAAACTAGCTCACGTTCCAAATATACCACCCGTCAGTCATGTCGCTACACACATTGCACCTACTTCAAAATGTATCTGCCATATGGTTAATGACATTGTCCACCATCGTAGGGCGATTGAGGTGTTCCATGTTGAATTACAATTCTATCCCAGCAAAGTAAGCTCCAATTCTATAAGTGGGCTATTTGTAATAGAAATTCGATCAAAAACGCTCTTGAACGAACTATGTTCAATGGGTGTTGTACTAATCACTAATAAAAAAACATGTGCATTCATTCTGTGTCTCTGTATTTTACAAACGCAGGCAGGTTATCCGGACATTGTTTTATTGCTGTTGTTGTATCTACAGCTTGCCGGGAACATGGAGCTCAACCTGGGCCCACTGATCCGTGAAACTGCTCGGCACGAGAAATCTGTGTACTTCCCCAATGTATTAACACGCAGTAAGTTAGATTTTCCAAGTGTGTATTGTTTCTACTGTCACGTGGTTTGTTTCACTGAAACTAATTTAGATGATACACGCAATAATGATGCTCGAAGTTTCGAGTTTTTATCTCGTTACTTCGATTGTTTTTTCTACACGCCGTGATAAAACTGGAATACTGTTCAAAGCGGCGTTTAACCCGACTCACTCATTCAATGAGAATTTAAGTTTATGCTCAACATTTTGAATATGCATGTGAAGTTTGGGACGGCTGTACCAATAAAACAAAAGATACATCTAGTTCCACCATACTTCTCATAAGATAGCAGAACAAAATACATACAGAATTAAGACATGGGAATAGTGAATTAAAAATGATTTATTTAGAAAAGCTTTAAACGAGGATACAAAATGCCGATGTGGCAGCCCAGGTGAAAAATCATATATTTGTTTCAAGGAATGCCCATTTAAATTAGCTAGAAACGAATTGATGCACTCAGCTGTTGTTAATCGTGGAAGATACCTGTGATGTTGATATTGGCTTGATTAAAATAAAATATGTTTAAACTAACCATGCCACACGTTCAGTGGCCCTGCGATTTTACCCAGACACACAGTCCAGCTTTATTATCAAAGTATGAAAAAAGCATATGCCTTTCACATATGCCAGTCCTAGGACTCCAAGACCGTGTTTCAGTGGGTATCTATACAAACCCGAGCCTGTGCATTGCAGTAAAGCGACATACACAATGTGCTGCACTCAGTAGTCCCTTGAGTGAATCAATACCTACTGCACGTGTATAGACATTACATATTCCCGTCCACTATGTAACCAGGAGAGTGAATCAATACCTACTGCACGTGTATAGACATTACATATGCCCACCCATTATGTGCCCAGGAGAGTGAATCAATACCTACTGCACGTGTAAAGACATTACATATCCCCGTCCACTATGTAACCAGGAGAGTGAATCAATACCTACTGCACGTGTATAGACATTACATATCCCCCGTCCACTATGTGCCCAGGAGAGTGAATCAATACCTACTGCACGTGTATAGATAGTACACATCCCCGCCCACTATGTGCCAAAGAGAGTGAATCAATACCAACTGCACGTGTATAGACATTACATATCCCCGTCCACTGTGTAACCAGGAGAGTGAATCAATACCTACTGCACGTGTATAGACTCACATATCCCCGTCCACTATGTAACCAGGAGAGTTAATCAATACCTACTGCACGTGTATAGACAATACATATCCCCGCCAACTATGTAACCAAGAGAGTTAATCAATACCTACTGCACGTGTATAGACATTACATATCCCCGTCCACTATGTGCCCAGGAGAGTGAATCAATACCTACTACACGTGTATAGACATTACATATCCCCGTCCACTATGTAACCAGGAGAGTGAATCAATACCTACTGCACGTGTATAGACATTACATATCCCCGTCCACTATGTAACCAAGAGAGTTAATCAATACCTACTGCACGTGTATAGACATTACATATCCCCGTCCACTATGTAACCAGGAGAGTGAATCAATTCCTTCTGCACGTGTATAGACATTACATATCCCCGTCCACTATGTAACCAGGAGAGTGAATCAATACCTACTGCACGTGTATAGACATTATATATCCCCGTCCACTATGTAACCAGGAGAGTGAATCAATACCTACTGCACGTGTAGAGACATTACATATCCCCGTCCACTATGTGCCCTGGAGAGTGAATCAATACCTACTGCACGTGTATAGACATTACATATCCCCGTCCACTATGTAACCAAGAGAGTTAATCAATACCTACTGCACGTGTATAGACAATACATATCCCCACCCATTATGTGCCCAGGAGAGTGAATCAATACCTACTGCACGTGTATAGACATTACATATCCCCGTCCACTATGTAACCAGGAGAGTGAATCAATACCTACTGCACGTGTAAAGACATTACATATCCCCCCTCCACTATGTGCCCAGGAGAGTGAATCAATACCTATTGCACGTGTATAGATACTACACATCCCCGCCCACTATGTGCCAAAGAGAGTGAATCAATACCAACTGCACGTGTATAGACATTACATATCCCCGTCCACTGTGTAACCAGGAGAGTGAATCAATACCTACTGCACGTGTATAGACATTACATATCCCCGTCCACTATGTAACCAGGAGAGTGAATCAATACCTACTGCACGTGTATAGACAATACATATCCCCGCCAACTATGTAACCAAGAGAGTTAATCAATACCTACTGCACGTGTATAGACATTACCTATCCCACACCAGTCATGTAAACAGCAGTGTGAATCAATACCTACTGCACGTGTATAGACAATACATATCCCCGCCAACTATGTAACCAAGAGAGTTAATCAATACCTACTGCAAGTGTATAGACATTACCTATCCCACACCAGTCATGTAAACAGCAGTGTGAATCAATACCTACTGCACGTGTATAGACAATACATATCCCCGCCAACTATGTAACCAAGAGAGTTAATCAAAACCTACTGCAAGAGTATAGACATTACCTATCCCACACCAGTCATGTAAACAGCAGTGTGAATCAATACCTACTTCACGTGGATAGACAATACATATCCCCGCCAACTATGTAACCAAGAGAGTTAATCAATACCTACTGCAAGTGTATAGACATTACATATCCCCGTCCACTATGTAACCAGGAGAGTGAATCAATACCTACTGCACGTGTAAAGACATTACATATCCCCCCTCCACTATGTGCCCAGGAGAGTGAATCAATACCTATTGCACGTGTATAGATATTACACATCCCCGCCCACTATGTGCCAAAGAGAGTGAATCAATACCAACTGCACGTGTATAGACATTACATATCCCCGTCCACTGTGTAACCAGGAGAGTGAATCAATACCTACTGCACGTGTATAGACATTACATATCGCCGTCCACTATGTAACCAGGAGAGTGAATCAATACCTACTGCACGTGTATAGACAATACATATCCCCGCCAACTATGTAACCAAGAGAGTTAATCAATACCTACTGCACGTGTATAGACATTACATATCCCCGTCCACTATGTAACCAGGAGAGTGAATCAATTCCTTCTGCACGTGTATAGACATTACATATCCCCGTCCACTATGTAACCAGGAGAGTGAATCAATACCTACTGCACATGTATAGACATTATATATTCCCGTCCACTATGTAACCAGGAGAGTGAATCAATACCTACTGCACGTGTATAGACATTACATATCCCCGTCCACTATGTAACCAAGAGAGTTAATCAATACCTACTGCACGTGTATAGACATTACATATCCCCGTCCACTATGTAACCAGGAGAGTGAATCAATACCTTCTGCACGTGTATAGACATTACATATCCCCGTCCACTATGTAACCAGGAGAGTGAATCAATACCTACTGCACGTGTATAGACATTATATATCCCCGTCCACTATGTAACCAGGAGAGTGAATCAATACCTACTGCACGTGTATAGACATTACATATCCCCGTCCACTATGTGCCCTGGAGAGTGAATCAATACCTACTGCACGTGTATAGACATTACATATCCCCGTCCACTATGTGCCCTGGAGAGTGAATCAATACCTACTGCACGTGTATAGACAATACATATCCCCACCCATTATGTGCCCAGGAGAGTGAATCAATACCTACTGCACGTGTATAGACATTACATATCCCCGTCCACTATGTAACCAGGAGAGTGAATCAATACCTACTGCACGTGTAAAGACATTACATATCCCCCCTTCACTATGTGCCCAGGAGAGTGAATCAATACCTATTGCACGTGTATAGATATTACACATCCCCGCCCACTATGTGCCAAAGAGAGTGAATCAATACCAACTGCACGTGTATAGACATTACATATCCCCGTCCACTGTGTAACCAGGAGAGTGAATCAATACCTACTGCACGTGTATAGACATTACATATCCCCGTCCACTATGTAACCAGGAGAGTGAATCAATACCTACTGCACGTGTATAGACAATACATATCCCCGCCAACTATGTAACCAAGAGAGTTAATCAATACCTACTGCACGTGTATAGACATTACCTATCCCACACCAGTCATGTAAACAGCAGTGTGAATCAATACCTACTGCACGTGTATAGACAATACATATCCCCGCCAACTATGTAACCAAGAGAGTTAATTAATACATACTGCACGTGTATAGACAATACATATCCCATGCCAGTCATTTAACCAGGAGAGTTAATCAATACCTACTGCACGTGTATAGACATTACATATCCTACGCCAATCATGTAAATAGAAGAGTGAATCAATACTTACCGCATGTGTATAGACATTACCTATCCCACACCAGTCATGTAAACAGCAGTGTGAATCAATACCTACTGCACGTGTATAGACAATACATATCCCCGCCCACTATGTAACCGAGAGAGTGAATCAATACCTACTGCACGTGCATAGACATTACATATCCCCGTCCACTATGTAACCAGGAGAGTGAATCAATACCTACTGCACGTGTATAGACATTACATATCCCCGTCCACTATGTAACCAGGAGAGTGAATCAATACCTACTGCACGTGTATAGACATTACATATCCCCGTCCACTATGTGCCCTGGAGAGTGAATCAATACCTACTGCACGTGTATAGACATAACATATCCCCGTCCACTATGTAACCAGGAGAGTGAATCAATACCTACTGCACGTGTATAGACAATACATATCACCACCCATTATGTGCCCAGGAGAGTGAATCAATACCTACTGCACGTGTATAGACATTACATATCCCCGTCCACTATGTAACCAGGAGAGTGAATCAATACCTACTGCACGTGTATAGACATTACATATCCCCCCTCCACTATGTGCCCAGGGGAGTGAATCAATACCTATTGCACGTGTATAGATATTACACATCCCCGCCCACTATGTGCCCAGGAGAGTGAATCA